TTTTTTCTCTCTCTCAAAAAATAAAAACTGCACAGGTGATCAGATTGAGATACCAATTAGTGGGTAAAAAAATAAGGACGTAAATTTCATTTGGATGCAGCGTTGCATGACCGCGCAATTGTCAGTTAAAGTAACGCAGCGCCATAACGCAAAAAATTGCTTGTCAGGAAGGGGGGTTAATCCTCAGGCTCCTATAGCAAAGTTAAAAAAACTGCTGCCTTTATCATTTTTCTCCTGCCCGGGATTACATGTCCCATGATGCATTGCTCCTCACACATTCACAGCTTCTCAGCCACTTACTGACCTGTATTAATGGTGTACTGAGCTTTATGTGTGCTGCACTGTATATTTCTGATGTGTAAAAACTAATACTGCATTCTGTGTGTAGGCCAACTAATCGATAATGAAAATGGTTAACAACTATTTTCATAATCGAATCTAATTGATTATGCCGATTTAGGTGTTTTAGCCCTAACTGATTTCACTGGGCATGTTCTTTTCTTCTTTGAGCACCAGAACTCCTGACAGGAGAAAAGCTGCTTAAAAACATGCCTAAAGCGGCATATTGCACACACCTCTAAGTGTGTAGAGTGTTTGGGTGTTAATGGATTTCATTGGCCAGTATATTAACTTATTCTAGCCACTGGAATAAATTTACAGTCCAAACTCTCCTGACGTTTAGACAACGTGTTTAGGGACGTCAAGCATTTTTCTTGCCAAAAGCACCTTTCATGAATGCATTGGTGATTGAAATTTTGGAGCCTGTGAACACTTTTCTTCTAATATGCCTTTAAGTGCCTGTGTGCATGGACAAAGAGGCTAACATAGAAGTGGTTTCACAGGCTGGAAAAAGAAAAGCCAAACGTCTGTGAACGTGCCCAGTGTGAATGAGTGGCAGTACTAGAGGAAAAATGTGGACCAGGGTATAGTGTTAACATTAACTGGTTGATTCATGGATGAAGTAGACCAGGGTGTTTTATTTACTGGTTGCACAATGACTGTTGTATGATGTCTAGGGTTGTCTTATGGTAGCCCTGAAACTTCTCCAAGGCTTAAAGCATTATATGTGAGCATTACTCTATGCTAAAATGCCAAGTAGACTGCACAGATAGGAAAATTGCCATTTAAAGAACTGATGAGCATATTCAGGGTAGTGGTTGCTGTTTAACAATATTTGTAGTGTCACCATAGTCCATAACAACCTGTACATAGTATACACAGGTGCCATCACTGGTTCGTGTTTCTGTGCAAATGAAAATCGTTTTAAATTTTTCACATGCACCAAGTTGCCTTTTTACAGATGGCAGGGTATTACTGTTTTTGTAACACGCATTTATTTATTATCATCTAGGACAGAGGTAGGCAACCTTTGAGAGGTGGAAATCTACCTGCAACAACGTGAGAGATCCAAGATCACCAGGGTTCAGCGCCATTTAATTAAAAAAAAAAAAAAAAAAGCAAGTCCTAACTAAATGGCAAGGAAAAGGTAGAAAAATATAATAAAACAAATGTCACTGTAAAAATACAAACTTTAGCCTAACTTTTAAAAATGGACAGTATCAGTCAGTAGAGCAGTGGATGGTGCAGTCAGCAGTCAGTGGACGGTTTCAGTAGGGCAGAGGTTGGTATCTGGTTGTGTGTATGTGTGTGTGTGTGTGTGTGTGTGTTGTTTTAGGAGCCCTGTTGAAAGGGGAGCACTTGGGGGGAGAAAAAAAGGAGGACCAAGAATGGTAGGGGCTATAAGGCGGCTGCCAAGAATGGGCTGGGCAGTTTCCTTGGGGAAAAATCCCAATCCTCAGCCACTTGCTGGGAGTTCAGATTTTAAAAAAAACTTGTCCGTGAGGGGGGAGGAGGACACTACTGGTATGGGGGAAAGGGGGGCAGGAGGACACTGCTGTAGGGGGGGGGGGGCAGGGCAGAGGGCCACTACGGTGGGGGGGGGGGGGGCACTGCTATGGGGGTGGCCCTACCCATAGCAGTGTCCTCTGCATATCCTCTTCCCCGCAAGTAGTGTCCTTTGCCCCCCCCCTCCCTCCCCCAGTCTCCTCCACTGCTGCTGAAATTCTCAGTACACAGCGGAGATCAGAAGGCAGCAGGGCTTAGGACCAAGGGCGGAGGAGGACCTGTCCAAATGAACTTTTCGTATTAACCTGCAGGTGATTGGTTGCTAGGTCAGCCATAGCAACCAATCACCTGCAGGTTAATATGAAAAGTTAATTTAGCCAAGTCCTCCTCCCGCCCTCCGTCCTAAGCCTTGCTACCTTCTGATCTCTGGTGTGCACTGAGTATGACAGCAGCAAAGGGGGCTGGGGGAAGGGGGGGGGGGGTGGAGAAGGGACCTGTTTGCAATCTACCTGTCACCTGCCTGCAGTCGACAGGTAGACCACCATCGACAGGTTGCCGACCCCCGATCTAGCAAACTTTCTAAATGCAGTCAGTATTTCCTTTTTATGTCCTTCATTATTTTAATGTAATGTAACACTACAGCTTACAGCCCTGCAGTTGTCTTGGAAATTTTACAAGAGACCGCTCCTATCTTAATGTTGATCAGTGGTTTCAAATTAACTGCAGTGGGGAACAGACACACAGATTTTTGGTCCGGTCACATACTCCCTGCAGCTCAGTCTCCCTTGTGTCAGTTATTGGCTGTTGCAGGGAAGAGGAGGGAGTACTGATAATGGCTGGGCCATGGGAGCCTATGGGTAACAAAATTCAAAACTGTTCTCAAACACTGTCTTTAAATAGAGCTGCAGGATCACATGACCGGACCAAAGCTGCTTGAAAATCGGTATGTACACAGATATTCTTCTTCATCTTTTTACTGTGCCTGTTTTAACCACCAGTACTAGCATATAATACCCTTTCAGTAGCAGGCTGTTCAAGTTTCTACTGCTTTAATAACAAAACATTTGCTTAGTCACACAAATAGGTTCCCAGATTATTTTAAATGTATTTTATGTAAGACAGATCTTCTGGTGGCATTTAATAACCTCTGGGTTTTTTTTCTTTAACTATGTAAATGGGGAGGGGGATATTTTTTTAAAATAAACTGTTTTCCTTACTCTCTATTAGGCATCTGCATGAGGCCTTATGACAGTGTCAATGCTGATGGGGAGACGCACCGTAGGTGTGCAGAAGCTATTACCATTTACCTGAATACGTCCATGTACAGCCATTCACTTGTATTGCTAGCTACATGCAGCACATGTCTCCTGTGGGTGTCAAAATGCTCTGGAAATAGAACGTCTCATCACACAGGAGTTCTTAAACATTCTTGTACATGAGTCCTTAAGCATACCAAATTGCCAGGACAGTACCAAAACCTCTAAACATCCCTTTTTTGAGAAGTAGACATCAAAAGATCATCCATATACATTACTGTGCAAAAATGAAAAAAAAAAATGCTTTCTATTAAGGATGCTTTCAGAAATAGAAGTGTTCAAAGTATATTTTTATTTATTAACAAAATGGAATGTAAATGAACAGAAGAGAAATCCAAACCAAATCAATATTTGGTGTGACTACCTTTTTTTGCCTTTAAACTACATCAATTCTTCTAGGTACACAGTTTTTGAAGTACCTTGGCAGGTCCGTTGTTCCAGACATCTTGGAGAACTAACCACAGATCTTCTGTGTATGTAGGCTGCCTCAGATCATTCTGTCTCCTCATGTAATCCCGGACAGACTCCATGATGTTGAGATCAGGGCTCTGTGGAAGCCCAACCATCACTTCCAAGACCCCTTGTTTTTTACATTGAAGATAGTTCTTAATGACGTTGGCTGTATGTTTTGGGGTTGTTGTCCTGCTGCAGAATAAATTTGGGGCCATTCACATGCCTCCCTGATAGTACAGCATAATGGATAAGCATCTGCCTGCATTTCTCAGCAATGAAGACAAGATCTCCAGCTCCTTTTGTAGAAATGCAGCCCCAGGCTTGCAAGGAACATCCACCATGCTTCACTGTTGGCTGCAGACAATCATCATTGTAAGCTCCCCAGTCCTTCGCAAACAATCTGCCTCCTGCTACAGCCAAATATATTTCAGATTTTGATTAATTGGTGCAGATCACCTGCTGCCATTTTCTTCACCTCATTTCTTATGTTTTCCTGCAAAGTTGAGTCATTTAGCCTTGTTTCAATGTCCTATGCACAGAAACCTAGGAACTACGGTGCATTTTCAGTGAATGAGTTTTTTTTTTTTTTTTTTTTTCAGCCTCTAAACACTTATCTTCTAATATGCCTGTAAACGCCTATGATTACATTTAGAGGTTGAACAAGTCAAACACCTGTAAAAGTGGTGTGTGTTACATCCTACGTGCATGAAGCCGAAACGTTTATGTAGGAAGGGGAGTTGTTGGGTCAGTGCAAAGAATGATTAGATACTCCCAAAAAAAGAGAGAGAGACGCATAACAAGGTATGACACAACGGACTTCCCCAGAGTAGAAGTTTTCTAGTAAGTTGTAAGGCACATTACATTTAAATAAAAATAATTTAGGAAATGAAGCCTCGTGTGTGTTTTTTCAATAAAAAAAAAAAGTTCACAGTAACTGCGATCATTGTATTCATCTTGATGAACATGCGGAGCAAGCCCCAAGGACCTGTTTATGCATAACTGCAAATTCCCCCCCATTGCACATCCAATACAAAGGGGTATGTGCAAAAATTGTGTGTGTGTGTTGTGTTTTTTTTTTTTTTTTTTTTTTTTTTTCCGGGTTGTGACGTATACAAATTGTAAACCATTCCCATTAAGGCATTTTACTCTCTAGCTGTAGAATGTAGCTAAAGGTCTGGATTAGGTCAGCAAACTTTTTTTTTTTTTTTTTTTTTTTTTTTTTTTTTTTTGTGAAGCAGTTCTTCCTTTCTGTTCCTTCTCATCTTAACTGTTGACCTTTCGAAGAAAACAGTAGGGAAAATATTATGTGCGCAGCTGAGTCAAACACTAAAACAATTTTAAACTGTGTGGTTTTTTTTTTTTTTTTCCCACTAACTTGCCAATGTTTTTCTATTTCAGCTTTACCAGCAAGGTCGTCTGTGTCAGCTCGGAAGTGAATTTTGTGAGTTGGAGGTCTTTGCCAAAGTGCTACGTGCATTAGATAAAAGGTGAGAAATCAACAAAAATGTATTACTATTTAAGCAGCGTTCACACAGTCAGCACTCCACCTTCCCTCTGCCACTTTAAAGCTTAAATGTAAGTCTTTTTTTATTAGTCTGCACAAGGGACATTTACCTTTTTTAAACTATGTGCAGGTTCCTGCAATCACAGTGGAAGTCTAAAGTCCTCTGACCCCTGCCATACCCCACAGCTGTAATTTTCCCATTCTGTGGGGGTTATTACCAGTGCTGGACCTGTGACAGGGACTTGAGAGTGCTTGGCTATGCCTGTGCTTTACTCACCCCCACCTATATTCATGAAGGCTATAGTACACTTTTTGAAGCATATTGACCTTTCATTCATATGCCCATCCTCCATTCATAGAATACTTTTTTTATTGAAGCAAGTGTTTTTTTTTGAGGAAACACCAGCAGGCAAGGTAAGAGGGGAAGAAGAAAAAAAATGTGAAGATGAAGTGAAGTTCTTTTTGGCATTCTAGTAAAAATTGCACATTCACTTCCCTGAATATATTACTGACTAGAGGCGATTTTACCAGCTCTGCAGTTTTTAATTCACCTAAACATTTTTATGTAGCTCTAGAAGTTGAGCAGAGAGAGTTTTCCAGTAGATTTAAAAATGCTTAATTGATATGTCTGGGGAACTGTTCTGTTCAATTTGTGAATCTACATGCTCATCCTTAGTAATGCGTACTGGAGAGATGGGAAAAGTTCTATTGGAAAATCTGGGCTGCTCAAAGATTGTCCCTATATACTCTATCTAGAGCGGGTGGCATAGTTCATGTGCCAAACTTTTGGCCCTTCTAATTCAACAATATGAGGAAAATAAATTTCAGTATGTTATGATATCCTGAGCAATGCTGTCACCATCCATCATTCTTGGATCTACTTGTGTTTTGCACCATGCAATTTTTCTATGTGCTTCTTTGCCATTGCCTCATTTAAATTACATGAATTTTCCTTTTACTGTATTTTTGATTTGCAAAGGAAAAACCCTTAGGGCTAGTTCACACTAGATGATGTTAAGTACGCTTTTTTTTTTCTGCATCAAAAATGCATGCACAGTGCTTTTCATGTATTCCAATGGCTCTAGTTCACACTAGGCCAGTCAATTTCCGGTGCAGAAAAAATAGAGTATGCTACTTGTTCTTCCTCTTCCCCCTTCCTTCCTCCCCCTCCTTTTTTTTTTTTTTTTTTTTCTCTTTGCACAGAACCATACTGGAATATGACGAACTGCATGTGGTGTGAACTGTAAGCAAAAACGTATCCGGAATGCATCTGGAGGGTGAACTGGCCCTTAAGCATTTTCTATGTTTTTTTGTATGAAAGATAGAATTCAAACACTTCTAAAGCAAACTTTGAGTTGGAGATTTTTTTTTTTTTTTTTCTTTCTCCTACTCGATCACCCACCCTCTAGCATCTATATTGTTAGAACTACCTGTTTAGTAGCCTTTGATGCCACTCTCTGAACATTCTGGTACTTGTGGGAGCCGCAAAGCATGTGGCACAACACCTGCACCTTAGGTAGGCATAGAATCTGTATAACAGCCAGTTATCAATCCCTAGTACTGTCACATAGTGGTAGGTGATGTGCTGTTCAGTTGATTATTATGTTAAATATTGGTTACAATTGCGTGTGAATTTGTAATGGTAAAGCTAATCAATAGATTCCACCGGTCACGCTAAACAGCATAAATGGAGGAATATTCACTTCCAGCTCTTGTAATAGAGCAGCCACAGCACCCTTGGCTATCTGAATGCCTGAAAAGTAATGCTTCTAATAGGATGTAAGTATGGATGCACCAATACCCTTTTTTTTTTTTTTTTTTTTTTTTTTTTTTTTATCGTACGAGTAACGATACTGTCAGTCAAATACTTGCTGATACCCAGTACGATACTTTTTGCGTCTATACAAAATGTATGGGTGCAAATTGCACCGCAAACATTAGCATGTGATTTGAGCAGGAATGCGTTTCCTGTCCCAATCGCATGCAGTTTCCCCACTGATCCTGTGTGAACCTAGGCTATCACAGCCAGAGTTTACACAGGGTTCCGGTATCAGTGCATCCCTAGGTGTAAGGTTAACAATTTTTCCTCTTGCGTTCATTGATGAACACAGCTCTTCTTCTAAATCTTGACCATAGGGTTATATTGCCACCTTCAGGAGTAGGATCTAGGTAGAAAAAAAACAGAGCACCGCCTATGAGCAGTCCTAGTTGGTATAAAACCCACTCTGTGCTATATGCAATTCAGTTATCCTGCCTAATGCTCAGGAGTGAGGAACTAACTCGCTTCTAGGGCCTATGGTTCCATAGTTTTTTTTGTTTGTTTTTGGTTTTTTTTTTTTTTTATGCAGAGATCTTCAATCAACAGCCAGGCTGGGTGACAGGCTGGATAATCTAAATGCTTATAGTCACCCCAGCTTGGCCAACAAGTGTGCACAGACCATTAGCTCAGTGCTCAATGGGCCGTGATACAGCCCCATCCTGGACAGGGGCACCCCAGCAAGATAAATGCCCTGCAGGGACTTGTGTGACCAAGCGCCAGAGTCTGTGTAATTAATAAAACCAAAAAATCGGGAACCATGCCAAAGTATTGTATGAATGATTAGGCTGACTCACCATAAAGTTAAGGTGGTGTCCTCAGGACCAAGTACTTATGCAACACAAACACCCACTTGTGGGTGAAGAACCCACAAGAGAAGTCCCAAAGAGAACAATCTGCGGCTTAGAAAAATATTTATTGGACACAATAAGATATCAGTTTGGCAAATATCTCTCCACCCTACATAAAAATAAAACACAATGACAACGTTGTCATATTCGAAAAAACACCCACCCAGGCACTCAGACATACCTGCCACTCACATTGGAATATGCATAACATAGAAATGGGGCTATAAAGGCTGAAGACTTCACAGTTATGAATTAAATACAATATCATGTGCAGTACCACTGCAATTAGATGACAGTAGGAAATGTAAAATGTCAGGGGCCCCTGAATAGACACTGGATAGTGATATATCCGCATGAGAAGTCTAAAAGATAGTAATTTTGGCAGTCCACCAATCTTGAGATATATGTGTGAAACAGCGGCAGATAGATGTATCACTGTAAGCTAGACCGAAATACCAGCACTAGTAGACGACAGCAGCCACAGATAGCAGTGACTTTTTTTTTTTTTTTTTTTTTTTTTTTTTTTTTATATTCCTTCCTTCATTGATCCACCCTGTTACCATGTGATTGCTATGGCCAATCACAGCGATCACTTGTCTAGTAGTAAACATTGCTGCCATTCATACAGTCGGGGTCCCTGATTACTGCCACACTAGTCATATTGTCCATATTCACAGCTACAGTGTCCTTGAACACCACTACACCAGTGTAAACCAGCAACAGTGTCCCTGATTTTCACCACCCTGGTCCCAGTATCGCCTAACCAGTGTAAGTCAGCAGCAGTGTTCCTGATTGCTGCCACACTAGTCCCCATTTTCACCAGACCAGTACAGCCAGCAACAATGATTCTGATCACCGCCACTCCAGTGCAGTGTTCCCTCTGCCTGTACTGACCCTAGCCTGTTTGACTACGTTTCTGCCTGTTGCCTGGACCCCAATCCTTTGCCTTTTTGCTGGCCATGTCCCTGCCTGTGGCCTGAACGGACCCATCTGCACATCCGAGTAACTATGTTGATGAGAGACATCAGTCCCAGCCATCCCCAGTGGATCACTTGATCCTTTTTTTCAGCCTCTTGTACTTGTCAGTGAACATACCATTCTTGGGGGCAGCTATGTATCAGTAGGCTAGGCTTGTTTGGCAATTTGTTTTTTTTCCTTCTTCAACCCTTCTCATCGGAAGATGCCCCTGTCAAGGTGTTAATTTTCTGTGGACGGCCTGGACGTCTCTGTGAGATGGTTGCAGTTCCATTTTGGTAAATTTTTGTATCACTTTTGCTACAGTAGTCTGACTGATAAGTAAAGCTTTGCTGATTTTCCTGTAGCCTTCACCTTTCTTTTGTAAAGAAATTATTTTCTTTTTCAGACCTTGTGACATTTCTCTTTCATGTGGTGCCATTGCTGACAACATTAAATGGGAAGGGGTTTATATTATCCTTTTTATAATAAACTGAACTCCTGTTTAATGAATAATTAGACTCGCCTGTAGTTGAATTCTTGTTATAGCACCGATATGACTGCTCTAATTGCGGACAATAGGGTGCGACTTGGCATGCGTTTTGCAAGTCACATACCATGCAAATCGCATGCATATCGCATCCAGTGTGATCGTGGACTTAGTGATATTATAACAAAGTGGAAGCACCTGGGAACAACAGCAATTCGGCCACGAAGTGGTAGGCCACGTAAAATGACAGAGCGGGGTCAGTGCAGAGCAGTCGCCAACTGTCTTCAGAGCCAATGGCTAAAGACCTCCAAACTTCATGTGACCTTCAGATTAGCACAACAGTGCGTAGAGAGCTTCAGGGAATGAGTTTCCATGGTTGAACAGCTGCATCCAAGCCTTACATCACCAAGTGCAAGGCAAACTGTCAGATGCAGTGGTGTAAAGCATGCTGCCACTAACTTCTAGAGCAGCGGAGAAGTGTTCTCTGCTAGACAGAGAAGGGTGCTTCGTCACTCCAATCTGATGGATATGTGTCGGTTTGGCGGTTGCCAGGAGAACGGTACTTGGCTGACTGCATTGTGCCAAGTGTAAAGTTTGGTGGAGGGGGGATTATGGTGTGAAGTTGTTTCTTCAGGGGTTGGGCTTGGCTCCTGGGTTCCAGTGAAGGAAACTCTTAAGGCATCAGCATACAGAGACATTTTCATGCTCCCAACTTTGTGGGAACAGTTTGGGGATGGCCCCTTCCTGTTCCAACATGACTGCGCACCAGTGCACAAAGTAAAGTCCATAAAGGCATGGATGAGGGAGCTTGGGGTGGAGGAACTTGTCTGGCCTGCACAAAGTCCTGACCTCAAGCTGGCCTTCTTGTCCGACATGAGTGCCTGACCTCACAAATGGGCATCTGGAGGAACGGTCAAACATTCCAATAGACACTCCTAAACCTTGTCAATAGCCTTCCCAGAAACGTTGAAGCTGGTATAGCTGCAAAGGGTTGGCCAACTCAATATTGAACCCTATGGACTAAGACTGGGGATGCTGTTCATGTGTGTGTAAAGGCAATGTGTGTGTGTTATTGTTTTAACTTTAATGCTATCACAGGGGGCTAAGATACTCCCTGTATGTGCTCCATTGGAGAGTGACGAGACCTCATTATAGCAACATCAGAAATCTATTAGACCCCTGATGTGTCCCCTGTCCTCCACTGCAGCTTATGAAACATAGATTGTGCTTGATGAGGCGCTTCCCCTGTTAATTAATGGGATCGGAAGTAGCAAAATGATCGTCGCTTCTGGCTTTTCAGGCTGCTTAGATCACTCTTACAGAAAAACTATATGAAATTTTGTTTTTACCCACTTGAAGTCCAGGATGTTTTAAAGTAGAACTATAGGCCAAACTTTTTTTTTATTTATTTTTTTTTTATATTTTTTTTTTTCAGTTTGGATAGAGCAAGTGATGGTTATAACCCCTGTCAGATTTTTAATTTGTTTTTTGTTTTTTTTTGCCATCTCTGTCCCATTGCTAAACAGGAAGTGAGGGTAAATCCCTCCAAATTTAAAGGAATTCCCCCCGGTCACCAGAACTAGTGTCTCCATTGGAAGATCTGGGGACAGAAAATCCCATTGGGATTTTCTTTTACTTTCACTTTCAGTGATAATGGTAAAGAGGACAAATATAGAGGGTGAATCTCTTTAACAGAATTACGGATAGCAATAAAAACTTACAGGGGTTCTAATCCCTCCACTCTATCTAAAACTGACAAAAGTTTGGCTTTAGTTATACTTTGAAATGGCTTAAGGACAAGTGGTTAAAGTGGAACTTAACTCCTTATCTGTTACAGCTAAAGAAGCTGCCATCTTACCCACTGTATGAACTGAAGTTGCTATGTTGTTGCATGTGTTCAGTTTTGACAGCAGCCACTTGTTGGTTTGACATTTCAGTTAGGAGCATGTAAGCAACTGAGTCTGTATGTGTTTGTGTGTTTTTTTTTTTTTTTTTTTTTTTTTTTTTTTTCTTCACAGTATGCCTTGAAACTGTTTTGGGAAGCAGTTAAATCGGAGGGTTTAGTTCGTAGTTTATGGGGTTGAATTTGTACATTTACTCAGCATAAATGTATGTCTTTATCAAATATTATTTTTTTTCTTTTTGTCTTTTCTGTTAGACATCTTCTGCACCACTGCTTTCAAGCTTTAATGGACCATGGAGTAAAGGTTGCCTCTGTGTTGGCGTATTCTTTTAGCAGACGTTGTTCTTACATTGCAGAATCTGATGCCCAGGTTAAAGAAAAGGCTATTCAGATCGGCTTTGTTCTTGGTAAGATGGCTTGTTAAGACGGCTTGTATTTTATTTTGAGTGGAGCACTTTGGAAAGTATTGGGTATACAGTGAAGGAAATAAGTATTTGATCCCCTGCTGATTTTGAATGTTTGCCCACTCACAAAGAAATGAGCAGTCTAAAAATCAAATGGTAGGTGTATTGTAACACTGAGAGACAGAATAGCAACAACAAATTCAAAAGAAATGCACATCTAACAAATTATGCACTGATTTTGCATGTTCATGAGGGAAATAAATATTTGATCCCCTCCACAAAACATGACTTAGTACTTGGTGGCAAATCCCTTGTTGGCAATCACAGAGGTCAGATGTTTCCTGTAGTTGGCCACCAGGTTTGCACACATCTCAGGAGGGATTTTGGCCCACTCCTCTTGGCAGATCCTCTTCAAGTCATTAAGGTTTGGTGGCTGACGTTTGGCAACTCGAACTTTCAGCTCCCTCCACAGATTTTCAATCGGATTAAGGTCTGGAGACTGGCTATGCCACTCCAGGACCTTAATGTACTTCTTCTTGAGCCACTCCTTTGTTGCCTTGGTCGTGTGTTTTGGGTCATTGTCATGCCGGAACACCCATCCATGACCCATTTTCAATGCCCTGGCTGAGGGAAGAAGGTTCTCACCCAAGATTTGATGGTACATTGCCCCATCCATCGTCCCTTTGATGCGGTGCAGTTGTCCTGTCCCCTTAGCAGAAAAAACACCCCCAAAGCAGAATGTTTCCACCACCGTGTTTGACAGTTGGGATGGTGTTCTTGGGGTCATAGGCAGCATTCCTCATCCTCCAAACATGGTGAGTTGTTGTCAGATGAGACCAAAATTGGGCTCTTTGGCATCAACACTTTCAGCCAGTCCTCCTCTGCATCATTCAGATGTTCAGTGGCAAACTTCAGGGGGGCCTGGACATGTGCTTTCTTGAGCAGAGGGACCTTGTGGGCACTGCAGGATTTCAATTCTTGTTGGCGTAGTGTGTTAGCAATTGTTTTCTTGGTGACTGTGGTCTCAGCTGCATGGAGATCATTGACAAGATCCTCACATGTAGTTCTGGGATGATTCCTCACTGTTCTCATGATCATTGACACTCCACGAGGTGAGATCTTGCATGGTGCACCAGACCTAGGGAGACTGACAGTTTTGTGTTTCTTCCATTTGCAAATGATTGCACCAACTGTTGTCACCCTCTCACCAAGCTGCTTGCCGATAGTTTTGTAGCCCAGTCTAGCCTTGTGTAAGTCTACAGTCTTGTCCCTGACATCCTTGGACAGCTCTTTAGTCTTTGCCATGGTGGAGAGTTTGGAATCTGATTGTTTGATTGCTCCTGTGGACAGGTGTCTTTTTATACAAGTAACACAATGAGAATAGCAGCACTCCCTTTAAGACTGCTTGTAATCTCAGCTTGTTACCTATATGAAAGACACCTGGTAGCCAGAAATCCTGCTGAATGATAGGGGATCAAATACTTATTTCCCTCATGAACATGCAAATCAGTGCATAATTTGTTAGACATGCATTTCTTTTGAATTTTTTATTGCTATTCTGTCTCTGTGTTAGAATATACTACCTACCATTTGATTTTTAGACTGATCATTTCTTTGTGAGTGGGCACATATTCAAAATCAGCAGGGGATCGAATACTTATTTCCTTCACTGTATTTTTGCTTTAGGGTTTAGGTGAATCATCTTATCAGTGCTCAAGCAGCTGGGTAAGTGTCATATCTCATAGGAATAAGGGGATTTCAACTCATCTGCTTTAAAAATAATAGGAACATTTAAAATGTCCAGAAGTGCGATCCATACCCAAAGTGTCTATATTTGAATGTCGTGTGTTTTTTTTTTTTTGGGGGGTTTTTTCTCTCCTCCCCTCCCCTCCCCACTGCTGTTTAGACAGGACTACAAAGGTTTCTGTTGCTGAGACTCTTGTGTCTGAAAATGCTAGGTGGCTATCTGTAATTCCACTGTAATGAGAGAGAGAGAGATAGATAGATATATATATTCTCCACCTCAGTTCAGAGTTCTGTTAGTGTGGTGTTTTTTTTTTCTTTTCTTCTCTTGAAAGTGCTTTTTGCTAAGCCTCTAAAATTCACAGCATATTCATTTTAAATAGAACATATAATTTTTTTTTTTTTTTTTTTTTTGTAGGTGGCTTCCTCTCAGATGCTGGCTGGTACAGTGATGCTGAGAAAGTTTTTCTCTCTTGTCTGCAGCTGTGCACACTTCACAATGAAATGCTACATTGGTTTCGAGCAGTGGAATGTTGTGTCAGGTAAGTTAGGCTAGGTTTACATCTACAGGTGCAACTGAATGCAGGAGCGTTTTGGGCAGCCCAATCATTCCAGTGGACTGCCCTACATGCAAGAAGCGCAGAGAAGTCCCTGACCCTTTTCAAAAAATGTGCCACACCAAACTGGATGGTGCTGCTGCATGGGAAACCGTGCGTGTTAACTGATGCATGGGGTGCCACATGTCTGCTAAAGGGCAACACATTTCTGTGTGCGATGTTCCCGTCATGCAGTAGTGTGAACCTGCCCTTTTTAAGTTTTGGCAAAATGTATTGTATCTTAGTAACTGTTATGATTGTTTTTCATTTCTTAGGCTGCTGCATGTGCGCAATGGCAACTGCAAATATCATTTGGGAGAGGAAACGTTTAAGCTAGCTCAGAGTTACATGGATAAACTGGCAAAACACGGACAACATGCAAACAAAGCTGCTCTTTATGGAGAGCTATGTGCTCTGCTCTTTGCTAAAAGTCACTATGATGAGGTAATGTTTTTTTAATATATATATTTTTTCAGTAAGCCTGGAAGAAATCTTGTTTTCTTTTGTTACTACTTTGTCGGTGACCTTAGCTGAAGCTTAGGTGAAGGCAATAGTTTTTGACAGAATGGAGATGGACTAGAACACCTACAGTGGATATAAAAAGTCTACGGACCCCTGTTTAAAAAGTCAGGTTTCTGTGATGTACAAAGATAAATCATTTCAGACCTTTTTCCACCTTTTAATGTAACCTATAAACTGTACAACTCAGTTGAACAACAAGGTGAAATATCTTAGGTGGAGGGAAGAAAAATTAAAAAAACAAAAATAAATTAATATGGTTGCTTAAGTGAGCACACCCTTAAATTTAATACTTTTTGTTGAAGCACATTTTGATTTTATTACAGCACTCAGTGTTACATTACAGAAACCTGACATTTTAACAGGGGTGTGTAGACTTTTTATATCCACTGTATTTGTTTTTTTATTGTTACGCTGCCCCCATTAGGGAGGTTTACTCTGTTCTGTTTTTACCATTATCATCGAAAGTGAAAGTAAAATCCCAAATTTTGGGTTGTCCTCAGAAAAGTAATGGAGTGGAAATCTTCCAATGGGGATACTAGTTGTGGTGACCTGGGGGTCCACAAAGAAATACTTACATTTTTGGGGGTTTTCTCTTGCTTCCTG